TACCACTTCCTTAGGTAGACAAACCTAAGAAATAACTCCCTGATGACAAAATATTTAGTCACCTTTTCTTGAAGTTCATTGGAGATCTGCTGTGCTAAAAAGCTCACTTAATTTTTCGAACTGTGCCAGCAGAACCAATAAAACATCATCTCTACCTACAAACCTTATATTATCTCTGACATTCATTTGAGAGAGAGAGAAGGCTAGATAGACTTCAGAGAAGTAGTGGTACAAGTAGCTCCAGTCTGATTACAGAGAAAAAAAGTTCTTTGAAATAGCAAAAAACAATAGACAAAAAAAATCTGCACTTTCCCTGTAGATCCTATCCCTTTGGGGATCCTTGGGCATTAACTGCAGAAAGTACTTTTAATGTAAGAGTTCATATACATATCAATGCAGATTGCCTAACACAGCTGAAGTATCTGAGTCACATCCTAGATGACACATAGCCTTTGGGGAAAACAAAAGGAACAAAATAACCTGTTGCCTCAAGCAAAACACTCTGTTTGCTATTGCATTGTATAGAAGTTTAAGGTTAACAAGATAGACCATTGATCTTCTATGCAACTACTGATAGGTGAATAAATCAACTGCACAGCTGTGAAACTTCCTATGTGATTCTGAAAGCAGCTCCCTGTATTTCCTGGAGACTAATAACAAAGTTTCTTCAGAAAAGTGAAAGCTTTTGAGTTTAACCTAAAATATAAACATGCATTGTAATTTTAAAAAGTAATATGTTTAAAATAGGTGTTTCTAAACTTTAAGAAGTTGTATGTCAATAGTCAGAATGAAAGTCAGTAGGCTATATCATGTAACAGAAGAAAGGCAATATAATCATAAGTGCAAATACACATTAAGATACATGATACAATGGACATTAAGAATGAAACAAAGAATAAATAACAAGACAGACATAGCCTCAAGAAATATAAGCAGGGATAGAATTGCTCTTTCAGTAAGGTGGAAAACAGGCTGTCCTTGCATACATTCTGTTGTTTCCTTGTAAGCAACATATTTGATCTTGGCAGTCGTGACTTTTGCAGTGAGGATACCTGAGTTCATTGGTATGACACATCAGGTTCTCAGCAGTACCAGAACACATGTATGGCACACTTTATGGAGAGGAATATGTACAGCTTTGAGCCTTTCCTATATTGTCCTGATTCAGCCCATTGTTCAAACTAACAGAACCCTCAGGTTTACCTGAAGATCCTGAGAACAGAGGAGAGACGTGCTCCCAGCAGAGACCAGGGGAGCATCTGCTAAGGCACAGGTGGCTGTAAAATGCAACCAGGCAACCAGGATCAGCCAGAAAAACTTGCTGATAAAAACAAAGAGGTTTGGATACATTTTTCTCTTTCTTCTCTTTTAACCTGTTAAGATAAAACCATACCAAATCCCAGAGACATTAGAAGATGGACTTTATGGAGAATGGACTAGTATGCTTTGTTCACCTGTGCATAAATTCTACGTATATACCACCTGTATAACTACTGCATGGTGTGTGCTTTGCCACAGAGGATATAGGATGGAAGACTATTGCCGTGCTCTGTCTGCAAGGGCTGAGAGGGGCTGACCCTGGGCTGCAGCAGGGCCAGGGCACCCCTACCGGGGTTGAGGGGTGTTGGGAAGCAGTTTGCCAACAGCACTTTCCAACCCTTTACGTGTAATCTTGGGCATGAGTTAACAGGTTACCTTGCTGAGGTGGATTAACTTGTGCTTCACTAAGTCATTTTGGGATGGAAACCTGTGATTTCACTTGCAGTGCCTGCTTGCATAGGGGAATGGGCGTGCTCTACCCCAATTCCTGCTGGGAAAAAAAGGAAGGAACAATTAAAAGAAAGGGAAAACAAAGTCCAAGCCCTTTCAGGTGCAATCTTGGTTGCTGTCCCAGTAGCCAAAAAAATTATGTGAATAATTGTTAGCAACGACAATTATTTTAATAGTGCAAACATATGTTGGTTACTCATAACCAAATTTTAGTTATAAATAAGAGTTAGAATGAATGCCAAAAGCAATCTAAGACTCAAGAAGGAAGATAATTTTTGAAACAGTAAGGTGAAAAGGAAAATTTGCTACAATCACTGCATCATTTGCAAAAATGTAGTTTCTGTGCTTTTAATTTTGCTTTGTTATTACCTTAATAATGTTTGAACAGAACTAGGCTTTTCTATTCTAAAACTCTGTCTTAATCTGCCTGGTAGCAATAGAGCTGCTCATTTTTGCAACAGTACAACAAAACCTACTGAGGAGGAAGAAAGCTTCCTTCTTTGAGTTGGGTTTTACTATTATAAAATTTGGTTTCCATTTGTGAGTTGTGTTTTATCAGCCCAGCTCCTGAGTCCTGCCACAAACAATCCTAAGTCTTTCCATAGCTGTTTTCAGAACATGATGTGGTTTAAGCACACTTTGTCCTGCTTTTAAAGGCAAATGAATTACTTGAAGTGGATTGCTAGTCTGAGTCTGAATTGACATATAATTTAAGGTTGTAGTTTATATATTGCTGATAATTACAAAGCATAATTGGAAAGTGATTATTAGTAATTTGTTATTTACACTGCAAAGTTTTAATATGTTGTTTGAAAAAGGGGAAAAAATAAGCTGGTCATGCAATAGCTGGACTACATAACAAGAGTTCTGAGGGGAGGAGCAAATACATGAATGCCCAAGGAAGCTTTATTGGCTGCCAATACAGAAATTAGACCCAAAATCTTTGAATGTTGGTGTTTTCTTCAGTTGGCATAACTTCTTTCCGAAGTGAATGATTTCTGTGTTGCAACTTACTTGTGTTTCAAAGACGATTAGATAAGAAAAGACAAAAAATTATGTGATGTATAAACAAGTTTTGTTATGTGGAATGGATGCTTGTAGATTCAAGACTTAGTTAAGGGCATAATTTATCTTCTTGATCTCAAAGTAAGGAATAGTTATGTTACTCACTTCGAAGTGCCTTGAAAGAAACCCTTTTGACAGCAAATCTGTTCTTCCAGGCCTGTAAACTGTGAGCCTGGAGCCCTCTGGTGTTACTGTCCATGTAACATACATTAACCATCTACACCAGCACAGTTCAGGGTGACCCGTGTCAATAAAGAGCTACCAAGCCAATCACTTTCTCCTGCCTAATCATTTGTTGACTCTATTATTTATCTATGCTCTAAAAAAACCCCAGTAATTTAGTTTTGAGAAAGATAACTGATCTCATCCAGGTTTTAGAAAGGTTTACTTCAGAGCTATTACCCAGTCTGTATCAGAAACAACTCAGAGCAAAGACAGGTCCTGTATAAAGGAAAATTTAGGAAGCCTGTAAGGCTGCTCTACTACATCCACTGCAGCACTCTGGTTTCATTTACTCCATGTCTTGTTTCAAGGAGTCCTTGCAAGATCTTTCATCTGGTCTTTCATGCCCAAAGCATGTTGCCACCTGTCCTTCTCTTGAACTGAGGGTTCCCATTTGCACTCTCCTAGCACTGGGACTGCATCTGTGATAGAAATCCTTCCTTCTCCAAGGCAGGGTCTCCAGTACTTCCTCAGCCACAGGTTCTTCATGCCTCCATGATTTGCCTTGGCTTATGTGTCCCTTGCTTCCTGTTTCCCCATGCCAGGACCAAAGCCTATCTGTTCTTTTGCTTATCTTTCTGGTTTTTTTTTTCTTTTTTTTTTTTTTTTTTCTCATGCCACCAAACTCCAGGCTGGTTTTGGCCTCTGCTGTCCCTGTCATTATCATCTCTCAGTCTTCCCATATCCCACGTCTCCCATTCTCTTCTTTCTCACTATATTGGTTTTTGCTCTTTCAGTGAGTTGTATGAAGTGGCTGGTGGCACAGACTTACTACACATAGACATTTCCAGGTGTTGAGGTACAGGTGTGGAAAAACAACTAATGATCTTGAAGCAATATACACAAAATCTGTTATCTCAGTAGGTTAACTGTGGACAAGGAACTGTTGTGGACCAATAAAGTGCATAATAATTGATTTTATATTATAGACAATCTCTTTTCCCTTCTGCAAAATGAGTAGGAGAAGAATAATTTCCTAGCTTGCCTGGTAAGGTCAGAGAATCTGTCACGTGTTGAACTGGTCACGAATTCAGTAGTAGTGCTGCATTGGGAAGCCTGGGGGGTTAGCTGGAAAGCAGGGAACAGAGCAGGGCGCCACCTGGAGCCTCACTGGGAAGAAAACAAGCCCAAGGCTGGAAAAAAACAGACATCGAAGTAATAGTTTGTCAACAGGAAGCTGGGAGGGAGATAGGGATTTTTGGCAGCGGGAAGTAGGATGTTAGTAGTAATGCTCACGGAAAACTCAGTGCTCACTTCTGAGTGGAGAAATATATGGGTGGTGGTTGTTCTGTGAAAGAAAAACAGGTGTGAGAGCAGCCTAAGCTGCTGCAGGGCACCAGCGGAAAGCCTATGTTGTTACCCTGTTACTCCCTCTACTGAGCTGTCCAAACTGTAAGGTAGGAGAAAGGTTATCACCTTTAGTTTTTTACTGTTCCCCTTAGCAATCCTAGAACACTTATTCATAAATTATGTAAAAGATGTTGCTTGGTAGTATACAATCTGCAGTCAGATTTGTGCTGGCTGGTTTGAAGTATACTGTAACTAAAGCTGCAAAGTGACCTGTCAAACGCGTAGATTTACAATAGCACAATTTCAGGTTTGAGATTTATATGTATTGCAGTGGGCTCTAAAATATGGGACTAACTGGTTTGAAATACTTTGGATAGTTACTTTGGATAGTTTCTGTTGTCAGTCAGGTAAAGAACTGTTTGGAGCCACAAAATATGTACAGACTCAGAGATGTGCTTGCTTACTGAAAGTTCACTAACTCATAGCATCTGAAGCCTTGTGCTTGGAACACTAAGTATTTGCCCCCTCTATAGGGGGTTCGATACCACAGTCTAGAGTGTGCTTTTGACCTGGAGCTATGCTTTATGGGGCCAGCAACTCTAATGTGAGGGATTCAGTGAAAAGTCAAAGCAGATGTGCTGTAAAATGCTCAAAATTTATTAATCATCATTGCTTCCCCCCCATAAGGAACAAAAATAAAACAATATTCAAAAACAAAAGAAGAAAATATACCATACCCAGACAATATGGCTGAGGCTAAGAAATGGGATAACATTAATTCTGAAAGAAATGACCCAATAAATCAGTTTTCAAAAAAAAAAAATAATAAATAGCAATGGTTCAACTTTTACAAGCTTCCTAAGAAAGAATTTACAATTATTATTATTATTATTATTTTTATTATTAATAATAAACTTTTGTTTTAAAAAAATCCTTCATATGCCCCTGTTGGCAAATATATATATATACTTCTTCTGTAAACAGTTAACCACAAACAAAACAAAAAAAATCCATATTTTCATACAGTTACTATGCTGATGGTGTTATGTAAACAAAAAGTAGTGTGCAGCAGCTTCTCGTAATAGAATTTTTTTCCTTTTTCTCACAAAAAATATATAGGGAAATATGTCCATCATAAATTGTCCAAAATATTGAAGTTTACGGTTTTGAAAAAGTATGGCTTTCTGCAGTCTAAGTTTTCCTCAATGCAAAAAGAAACAAAGAAGCAGAGAGGTACAGTTTTCCTTGGGTTTTGTATGTTTTCTGGATTTATCTTTTGATTTGTCTCAATGAACTGGAATGAAAATGTTATTAAAAATCCATCTCTCAATCTTATGTTACAGCACTTCTCAGAAGACAAATGAACAGAAAATTACAAGATGACCTTATGCTGTACTTCCCAAGGAGGTAAAAGACATGAAAGAAAAAATGGGAGATATATCAGTAATGAAAACTCAAATTATGTAGACAAGACATATTGGGGTTTTATGCAGAAAATATCATCTGTTCATCCAAAATTTTAGCTGCTCTTGACACTTCCATATTTTTTCAAAGTTTTTTTATTTTAGTCTTATGTCCAGCCCTTGTTTGGTGACTTCTCTCCAGTTCTAATTTTTGACATTTGCCTGTTCCTGAGAGGTCTTTGTCTGGTTTGTCTCCTGTTGGGTGCTGTCTTGGGGAATGCACTGAGCAGTCACACAGCTGCATTTCTCCACATAGGTATATGAGTGATCAAGGTAGGTTCCGTCACTGCATGTCAGAGTCACCTTTCTTTGGCTGGTCTTGATTTCCTGACAACATGAGCATTTGTGTTCCATTGTGTTTGTCTTCTGAGAATATCTGATTGAAAAACCAATCGAAGAGAGAGATTCAGAATTTATGTGAGAAATACCACTGCCTCTCCCACTCATTACAAAACATAACCAAAAGTTGTTTACTTGCATGTGGGACTATTGCTCAATATTACCATTCTTACAGTATTGTAGTGAAATATAGGTAAGTTGTTCCTAATTATAAAAATCGATGGATCTAACTCTTCATTAAGTCCCGGAAAAAAATAAAGGAGTTAATCCAGATCACACAGGGAGCCAGTTCAGTGAGAGGAAAACAAGAAACAAATAACCTCGCTTTTACATGGGCAAAATCTAAACTGACACTGAACAGGCTGATAAACATTGTGAATCTTGAGGTAATTTAGTACAATGTCACATCTGTTTAAAATTCTAGTTAATTATCACAATGCAAACAGTTGATGACTAGGTGGATGTTGAACACGTCAGAAAATCACTTGCAGTTTGCTTTGTGTAACTGGTGTAAAGAGTAGAAGACAAGAGACCACAATTATCTTTTATACCACTCACCGTGAGTAAGCATCACAACTGCCTTCACAGTAGGTCATCTCAACAGGTGCAGGAGATACACATCCATTATATTTGATGACAGCCGTAGTATTGTGCTTCATACAAACTAAAGCCATCACAAACCAAAAGAAAATAGGTTAAGATATATGTGCATATAAATAGATAGCTGTGTATGATAGATAGTTGGTAATCAAAAACTAAGATGGATGGAGCTGAAATAGGAGATTAAGTCACAGTACACTTTTTTTTAATAATTGCTATGGGCAAGATTCTTGCCGTTTGTGTTATCAAATGGGTGAATTTTTCCCTTTTTCTTATCCAGCTTTGGTGCAGGATGCAGAAATAAAGAGCAGTACAATGGCAAATGCTCAACGCACACCCACCTCCCAAGACTGACTTCCCTTTCTTCCTTAAAGAGGATGTATCTATGGAAATTGGAGGGTATTCGTAGCCTTTACCCTCTCACAAAAAAAGCTAACATTTAACAGTATAGGTTGGGAAAGTTCACCATGTCTTTGTTTCCCAAGGCCCTAAAATGCATGCTGGAGATGTTCTGTTCCTTTCTTTTTCCACCTGTTTCCTTTCTCACCCCAGTGTGAAACAGTGATCCCAAACTTGGTCTATATAAGATGGGCTAATATACCTAATAAGGCACATATTATCATTACTTACGCTTTGGTTTTCTTCGGCACTCTATACAGCAACCATCGTCAGATAACTTGATGTCGTTCTTTAGTGGGAAAACATATAAAGACAACTCAGGTTTCATATCTACATACTGAAGCAGACTTTCCCTCCTTCCTAAGTTTCTCTGGCACCAGAGGGGTTTTTTTTTGTATTGACATGGAATCTGATTTCAAGCAAGGCTAAATATTAAGGGCACATAACTACTAAAATATTAATAAGAGTTCCTTGAAAGCTGAAACAGGGAAGGACCAGAACTGCTTTGTTGTCATCAGAGTTCAGTAGTAAAATTTCAGATATAAAGCTTATAGCAAATGTAGGTCAAAATATTGAGTGACCAAAGCCAGCACAGGTGAAGGATTATGTCAGACAGGGTAACACAACGAATGAAATAACTGACTTGACCCTGAGTATTAATTTGAATGAAGTAGATTATTTTCCTTCACCTTTCCTTTCAATTAGTGAATTCTAAAAAAAACCCCTAAAATAATTTAGGAATAAACCCCCAATTATTTTTCAAAAATCAATATGATTTTTGCATCTATGTCACCTGACACTTTTAGGAATCCAAAACATTATGCTGTACCCTTTTCTCTACTGCCCAATCCCCAATGAGGATTGATATATCACCTATTTTAATTTTGAGTTGCTTTTCTGAAATAAAATCTCATGGGGACCAGATTCAGAGAGGACAAAAAGAGAGCTACTTCCTATATGATGCTTCTGCTAGGTATTTTCCTTGGACACCATGACCCTTTTGTCACTGGTGTTAGCCACTGCAATCTTTTCAGATATGAGAACTGGTAGAACAGTACTTACTGGATCACATTCATCAAGGTTAAAGGCAGGACAGCTTGTCTGTTTGACGACTTGAATGAACTGGTCAGCATGTTTTTCACATGTGTAGACTGTACAGTTATCACCTGGTGGGTTCCAGTATTCTCCTTCCTGAAAGGAATCAAAATTAAAGTGAATAAAAATCTTCTTAAATAAAAATGAAAAAAAAAAAAAAAATCAACACCCAAACCCCAGTGTCTTATCATCACTGTGTACAGCAGTTTGATTATTCTGAACAATTTCCTTGAATTTAAGCTGATAGTTATTTGCCCTGTTATCATACTGCCACAAGTGTTTTTCATTAACCAAGTGAAGAGGTTCTATTTTTATCTGGATATAGATGAACTTTTTGTGTGAATAGGGTGAGTATGTGGACTCATTTGGAAGGAATAATTTGTGTTTCAAGGATTTTATCATCAGAATTTTTGGGTATGTCCATTCAGATACATGGAAGAATTTCTCATGGCTTCACTGACTCATCCTGTCATAAAGCTCTCAGCTAATTTAAGATAAGCTGTTTAGAGCTGAAAACTGCCTCCACAGATAAAATTATCCTTTGAGCAAAATGGCTGCTACATTTTCAGAGCTCAAGGGGCAAATAAGGGCCCATTGCTTTCACCTGTGTATTTTTCTATGTTGATTTCTGAAAGCTGTTTTTCAGTATCACAGTTCCTTCTTGAAGCCTTAAAACTCAAGTTTCATGGCATAAGATACTATTTAAACTGTGGAGGCAGTCCACTCCCTGCCTGAATAAGCGCGTGTCTAACATGAGAAAAAATGCAGGAAGTAAACGTGACAAATACAAGGAGCAGAAAGAATGAAAAGACTGGCAGAGTTCCCCAAAAGTGAACTAAACCAGTGATAATTACATAGACCACGTGTGTAATGTTGTGTCCCACAGTCACCACGCAAGCCTCTGCCTTGCACGTGCCGCAGCACTGTCCTGGTTCCTCTGTATACTTATAACCCTGTTTTGAAAGAAATAGAAAGGAAATGACATTGAGTCAGGTCACTGACCTTAACTAGTGGTTATTAGAGCTGAGTGGGGAAGGAATTTCTGACGGCAAAATAGCACTCACCAGTGGGCAGTATGTGTCACAGGTAACAGGCTCACACTTGACAGTAACACGGTGAGGCCTTAAGTAAGAGGATTCAGAGCAGGTGCATTCTTCGCAGGGGCCTGATGGAATGACAGCTCCAGGCTAGGGGGAGTCAGGAAAAAAGTCGTTATTAGTCAGTAAATGCAAGTTGCTCTGTGTGTGTAAGTCGCAGACAATACAAAGATGTATAAGCTAAGCAATCTGTAAGTACAATTTTAGTTGTTTTATTTAAGAAGAGTTTCTGGTTTGGTAATAACGATTTTGGAATTAAGTTCTGCTCATGCAGAAAGTAGAGCAGAAAATGCTTTTGCTTTTACAGAAGGTGTTGATTTGCTAACCTTGATTAAATAATTAATAAGATTATATAATTATATCTCACGCCTTTCTGCAAAATATGGACCATGATAGAGATCTCAAAACCATTGCATTGTGAGCTATGTGAAGGTGTATTTTTATAGTGATTTACTCTGTGTACTTACCGCATAGTAAGTTTCATTGACTACGCAGCCATGTCCTGTAAAAAAGGAAGAAAGATGGTGTCTTAGAGGTGTAAGTTTTAAGAGGCAGAAGTGTGTAAAAAGGCTCCTGCTTTGCAGGCCTGTGGTGGTAACATTAAAACACTCGTTCACAATGAGGCCCGATATGATAATACAGAAAATAAGGTTTTTGTATTCATAAACTTAGAAAAATATAGCAGTAAATAACACATGAAAAAGGTGCACAATACTTACTGCATTCAAAGGTAGGACAGCATTTTCCAGGCTGCATTATTGTGATTATTTCTTGTCCCTCTAAGCACTGGAGTGTGGCCTCAGGGCAGAGGCTGGTGTTGCAGTCTGTTTCATGGAAGAGAATGCACAAAATAATGAACTCAGAATTTTTAAATGAAAGAAATTTTGTTTGACATGAACTTCAGAAGTTTTCCAGTGGGGCAAATATGATGTTGTTTGCCTAAGACAGTTTAGTGACTATTTCAGTCTGCATGCCCAGGTTTTTTCAGAGTGAATGGGCTTTTCCGTAACACTTGTAAAACAAAACATTGTATGAGAAGAACACGGTGATGATTGCTGGAAAGAGATAATTCCAAAGAGAAATTTGTATCAGTTGGAAAATCTGATGACTGTCAGTGGGTCAGGAACTTTCCTAAGCAATTTTTAAATGTTCAAGACTATGTTTTTTTTAAGTTAAGATAACTTTCTAATACTGGTCTTTGGAACAGAAAATATTGTGAAAAGTTTTTGAATATTGGTTCAGATGGTGGCAGCATTAAAGTTTCTCAGTGTTAAATTATAGAAGATTTCAGTTACTTCTGTGTCTAACTATATAAAATCTTTTAATCTTTAAATTTGTTATCTTCAGACATTTAGTATATACTATGCAAGAAGGCCCTAAAAAGTGTGATGAGGGAGAAAAGCATTATTACATCCATGCAAAGTATTAAAAAAATTGCTGTAGTTTCCCAAAATGAATATAGTGTATTCCCCATGATAAAGAACTAAGACTACTTACAGCACTCAGTCCTAGTACAGCATGGATCTTCTGGTATCTGTATCTGAACAGGCACGTAACCTGGTTCATCACAAAATACTTGCTGTGTCAGAGAACATTTGTGTTTTGTACAGTGCACCTTAAGAGTATTTTTGTCACAGACACATTCCTGGCAATCTTTTGTCCATTTTTCTCCTGGCTATATAAAAAATAAAAACACACACAAAGAGAAGGAAAAAAAAAAAGTAAATTCAAGCCAAAACAATTCTATTTGCTTCTAGTTGACATATTCATGGATACAGTGATACCTGATTATATCAGCCTTTTTGTATTTTTAGATTTTACGAAAGACCTTCAAATTGAAGCTTCTTAGGGGAAGATACTGGAGGCCACTGAAGGTTCTGAGTGTGTTCACAAAGCTATGACTTTGTTATGTCAGCATGAGTGATACAGGATTTCTAAAGGAGAAGTGATTGAGCTTTGCATGCATTTTTGAATACGAAATGATCATATGACAAACTCATTTGCACATTAGGTTGCAGATTTGTATGCAGCTGAGGAACTAAGAATGCAGACTGTGAACAATATCAGCAACAGGTAAAATTTGTTATCCATCTCTCCCTTCATTTATAGTAACTTTAGCAAGACAAACTTCTGTAAATAAAAGAAACTGTATGTGAGGTTATTGAAAGAATACTTCACCACTTCCTGTTACATTTCTAAAGGCTGCTCTAGCACTTATTATTTTTAAGACTAAAAGGGAACCAACATTTGAAAAGACAAAGTCTTCGCCAACCTAAGCAAAGCTTTGTTTTAGTGGAACACTAAGTATCCTCTTGTTTCACTTATCTGTGCACTTGAAGCCACACTGATTGTGATACTCACCCATCTGGCTACTCCATTTGGTTCCCTGCAAGCTGGAAAGAAAAAGAAAAAAAACCAGACAATGAAATGAGTGGAGATTCACACCACTGAAAATTGACATATGTGCAGTTACAAATAAAAATATTGTGAAGATAAAGCTAACAAGAAAATGAATATGTGGACTAGTTCTTCTGAAATATAGAGTTCTACCATCTTGGTATGTTGCATATAAGGAAGGATGATGAAAAAAAGATAATATTATTATTCAATTTTTAGATGGGGAGACTAAAGAAGCTTAAAGAAGCTGATTTGCTGATGATCTGACCATGTAGAAGACAGCAGTAGAACTCAGGCCTCCTGACTAACAAACCTGATCTCTATTTATTCCCCAAACTAGCTACAGATTACTTACAACATTCAGGGACACAGATATTGCTCTCTGCACGCAGGAGTGTCGTTCCTTCAGGACAGAAACAGCCTTCAGTTATTCCAAAGCCAGGATGCTCAACAGAGCTAGAATGAGAGGAATGTATGTATTTGAGTACAATATTTTTGCAATGAAGCAGGAGACAGAACAGCATATACAGAAGGTTGACATATCAGATACAAAGACAAAAAAATTTACACTTTCTGGCATGCAACAAGAAGCACATGTAGACAGAGCTGATTGATATTTATAAATCTTGAATAAGTTATCCAAATTTGCAACACATTTTGTTATGAAATAACTCAAATTTCTAAGGAAAGTGGATAAGCAATAATAGAAAAAAAAAAAAGAAAAATATAAGCAGTTGTTTCAGGATGAGGGTTTTTTTGGCCTTTCCTTACCTTTGATCACAGGTATCAGGATTAATGGGCCCACATGGCTTGTATATCAAGCTTGCTGGACAGCTGAATGCTGTATGGAAAAAGACCAAAAAAAAAATTAAAAATTGACTGTAGATGCATTTTTGCTGCAAAAATGACTACAGCTTTGCCTTCGTCTGCAGCTTCTGTGAGAAAGGACCCCGCTGGATTTTTGTCGACAGCAGCCAAGTGTTATATAGAAGACATGTTTACTGAATAAAAAACTAACTTCTACCATTTATCACATCCATTTTGAGTTCTGCAATACTTACAGCATGTATTGTTGGTCTTTCCTCTCCAGTCAATGCAGACACCTCTAGACGCACACTCTGTAGCATATATCTCCAAACTGGAACACTGCATGGATTCATCATCTATGCGACAACCATCGAAAACACAGCCTTTGAAAAATGGTTCTGGTGGTATCACAGCATGACATTCTGCAAAAATCCTGCAGACAGTAAAGAAAGCCCCTTCTATGTTAATGAGCCATTATATAAAGTCTGTTCCTGTCAGATAACACTTAAGAGTGTGTGACTTTCTGCTTCAGAAAGGAAGGTGTGAAGAAACAAACCATAGGAATGGCCAATAAACTGGGAGTTAAGTTCAGGAAAGATTAGGAAATCTGAAGCTCCTTTTATTTTCTGGAGAGGTTAATGGTCATAGTGTTTCTGTATGTGTACACAGCTTTTCATCAGTCTGAGACCATAAATTTAGTATAAAAGGCAACTGCACTGGGTTGAGAAAAAAAGGGATGACAAAAGTAGTCTAGAGACAGAAAAATTGCACATAAAATAGCTCAGAACTTATAAGACAGTACAGAAAGCACATGTAAGAGGGCCTTTATAAATGACTCAGCTAAAAAAAAACCACTGTTTTCAGCCTACACAAGTATAGGAAATACTTCAGGAAACAAGCATTTGTGCTTTTGGAGCTCCATGTTTTACATGAAATTTACAAAGAATGAAGGACGCTTCTTGACTGTGTCTGCTTTCTTAACCTGATTGATAACCAGGTTCTTTATGGTTTGTACTGAATACCCAGTTCAAATGTAGAGTTAAGCCTTTGCTTAATGCTGTAACTAAGAGTTATTAAGCATACCCTGGCAGGATTGCAGCCAGGGAGTACGGATTTTAGCGCTTGCTGCATCCCTTATATTCTCACTTCACCTCTCCTTGCTCAGTTATCTTTGGCTTGCAAGTCTTTTAGGCAGAGCTGTTTCCTTTCCAAAGGCTTTTTACTATATATACATACATATATGTATATATTCTGTCGTTAAGCAAACATCTTCAGCTATTATAACATGCTAGGGCTATAGTTGTTATTCTTCTTCTAAGATACTGGAAGTTTTGTCTAGAAAGAAAGAATTTGTTCAGTTTTTTTCCTTACTCGCTCAAGATAAGCTTGCAGAGAGGAGGTGTTTCACAATGAGGCTTTGGTGGAGGTGTGGTTATAGTTGGTACTATTGGTACTCCATGACACGTCTTGTTGTCGTCAACAATCCAGTGATGAGCCATTTGGGGACAGGAAGAAATGATCTTACCACTTGGTAAACGGCATTCATCTGCTTTGTTATTTGTACATGTTCCTGGAAGAGACAAGCTGAGTAAGTCTCATAAGCCACGTCAGAAATGCACAATGCATTACTTGCCGATATGTCTAGGTGGGCTCATGAAATGCATATGGTGCCTTGCTTCATAGGTAGTGCTTTCTTTACAGTTATATGAACTTCAATTTATGTTCTAGAAAAACAAACAAATCTAAAACCCCAGCACCAAAGAAAAAAAACCTGATTGCTGAAATCTTGAGCTTTTGATATCCTACAGAAGTTGAAGAGCAGAACTGTTTTCATTTCCATTTTACTGCTCTTTAAAAATTTCTGTCAGTCATGAGACTGCATAGCCAGAGTGGGTGAGAACAACCATGGTAGGATGGGGAAAGAGCACCACCTCCAATGAGTGCATCTGTCTTACCACACTGTCCTTCGGTGTTGTTGCCAAATTTGCTGTATGGGAGTTTCACAGAGAAGATCAGACCACTAAAGGTGATAGTTGCACCAATCTCTTTTATTTCAACAATCATATTGATGCCGAGAGTGGAGAAAGAAATGCCATCTTTTTCGAAGCCTGGTTTGACAATCTTTTTGTTGAAGTACATCTGAATACAAGATTAAAAAAAAGAAACAACAAAAGAACTTCAGAATAAGCACTGCTTCTGACTGATTAAGTAATATTTAAATTTTCTAATCTTCATAATTATTGCATAAGTCCATATGGTTTTGCATCACATCCAATACTCACTGGCATCTCAATAACAGCATATATTTACATTGATATCTCAGCTTGAACTACTATATTCATAAAATGTGATAATAAACTAAGTGGCCTTTATGTACTGTGTTTGTACAGATTGTGTGCTAATGCACAGTATTCTATATTCAAGTATTTTCTTTGTATCCCTCCTAATTTTGTGTATTGCGAATATTTTTCCTATGAAAATGAGTGGTAGTTTTCTTTAGCTACAGAAATATTTCTGACATTGCATAATAACTTTGCTGGATAATCACACTGTTCTTTTACAACACATGAATTGGCACTAGAGGAGTTATCTGAACTCAAAATGAAGTCAGATGTCCCTAGTCCCAGTTTTATGTAGTGGTCATATTTATTTGTTAGCCTAAGCTTTTTAGTTTGCAGCCAGTATCTTATATGAGCTAATGAAGGTGAACATATTTCCCTAATAGCTTTTTGTCAGAAGTTATTCTGCAACTCCCTGCTCAGTGAACTGGGATAAAGTTAGAGTTAAAACTGTCAGTTACTGTTTTCTTTTGCAGGGAATCACTAGAACCAGCATGCCTTTCTGACTGAGAGTTTGGCATGGCTTTGTAAGGGGAGACTGCCTATTTAGACAACCTTTTCCTCCCCATCTTTGCATTGTCTAATTAACTAATAGATTCCTCAGTATAAGAGTGGGACTGACTTTTCATTTTCACTGGCTTGCCAGTGCTAGTTCAGGATCACGAAGTTGACACTCCAAGTCACTGCTTTTCTTCACTATACCTCTTTTCCCAGTAGGAAACTGAAGGGGGAGTCATGTCAGGGCTCTATTTGGCACCTGAAGTTCCCTATGCAGAGAAAGCAGTCCCTAGTCATCCAGCTGACAAGTGATACATACCCATATTCACTCTAAGAGTAGAATCACACTTGTGACTTGCATTTGTGTTTGCTCATTATCTGTTTGTTTACAAAAGTGAATGGCACAATGTACCAGTTTTCATGAAATATGAATCAAGCACCAGTGTGAGCATTATTTGTGCCTTCTCTATCAGCTCTATTAGTCTGTTTCCTAGTATTATCTACATACATAATACATAATCTACATAATCTACATAATGCTAAACTGTTTATGACCTTTCGTTCTTAGAATCCAGTGCAAGCCTTTTTTTCCCCTCCATAAAAATACCCTCTGCCATCATCACCTCCACAATATGATATTCTAATAGACTGTCTCAAATCAGCATTGGTAAGGCTTGTGGACCTTATTTCTTTTTTGTAAAAATAGAGAAAAAAAAAAAGTATTTTACCACATTGGTCATGACACCATTCATGAGTTCCCGAGTCAACACCACTTCTGCAGATTTGTAGAAAATAAGAATGGATTTAGGGCAGGAGAGTCCGTCTTTTGCATCGCAGTAATAATTGTCAATGTAAACACGGAAGTTGTCATATTTAGGAATAATCTGTTTCACCAGGACGTAAGTGCAGTTTTCAAGGAAGGTATAGTAGATTCCATCGAATGTGATGTAATGAGGGTCACCCCATCCACTACACACACCTGGTACAGAGGAAATATTTGGAAGATTAAGATGATAATTAATGAAGAAGAAAGATTGAGCAACTCAAGTGAATATACTGCAATTAAAAGAGCAACCTTAAGAAAAGAAAATGCCCATCTAGTCCGTGCAAAGCTTGGCTTTTTTCAAAAAACCTAATTCCTTAATCTACTGGTGCTTACATGGACACTCATATCGGTAACAGCAGCCATTTTCATCAGGTACTAGGACTGCAGGATATTTGTTTGCACAGGTAATTTCCTTTACAGGTGGGCAGTATGTTGGTACTACGTCTATATCATTGTCTCCATTACAGATGACTTCTGTACAGTTGGATAATTTGAAATGTTCTCCAGGCTGAAAAGGAACAAAAAATTCTTGTCACAGAAGATAGCAAATGGGTATAACCTTCATTAAATCTGAAGCAAAGACTAAAATGAAAAACTTCACTGGTAGTAAAAGATTGCCAATATTCCACATGATAAATTTCTTCGATGCTAAAAGAAGGTGGGAGCCTTAATTAGAGCTGTTTCTTCTCCACGAGGAGCTCTTCAGGGGTTTAGGGTGATAAGTCTTAGGTTAAAGGAACTTTACACTAACTATGTATAGTGCACTTCACTGTCAGCACAGACCACCACAAAAGGAAAAATAAAAATGTATGGAAGTAAAAGAGAGAGGGCAGAAGAGAAGCAGATACAAGCCTCCAGAGGAGCTTAAATATTTCTGTTTAGTGAAACAAGAAGATCCACAAGAAAACTCATTCTATTATAGCAGTGAGATCTTATTATTGATACAGTGTATCAATGTTTTACTACCACTAAAGTAATTAGAAAAGAGTGATGTAACTTGCTTTATCAGTATAAAATCCTGAAATTAAAAAAAAAAAAAAATTCAAATTTTAAGTCGTATTTTGCCCATCACTAGTAAAATAATTACAACAACCTGTACCTCTAACCTTTATGGACTACAAGCTATTACACACTGCTGTCACCTGAAAAAGTGTGTTATTTCAACAGTCATAAAAAAAGTCAGAAATTACATACCTGTAGGGGAGGGTATGTACTAGAAATACAGCCATGAAAATGAAAACTTTTCGTAGTGGTTGACAGAGGAACTGATGTTGTTGTGGTAGACCACTCAGAGGAAGTAGTGGATAAAGGAGTAGTGACATTACAAGGTACACTGTGTCGTTCAATAGTACATACTGGGCTACAGATGGCATAAAATCTACATCCATCACTATCCATTCTGTTGTAAATCAGATCACCTGTAAAAAAGGAGAAAACATAGAAATACAAAATAAGACAAAAGAGACTAAAAAAAAAATAAAAAAAGTAATAACGGCAAAAATATTATAAGTAAAATTTTAAAAAGTAACAAATAAAAAAAAAATTAGGATGCGGCAAAATAAAAAAAAACCCTACAAAATGTGAACTATATTCCCCTAAAAAACAGAAAACTAACCAGGTGAAAAAACAGAGTCACCAATCTTGCAGAAACATGGCGTTGTTAAAATTGGAGATGGAGTCCTGGTCCAGAAAGGTTCACTTCTGGTAATAGTGGTGGTGGGCATGGTGATGGGGCTTACGCAGTTGTAGTTCGGGGTGCAGCAGAGGACACGTATCCTGTAGTTGAGGCACATCTTGAATTTTCCAGTCTGGTCCTC